ATATTTACACACAATCATACTGAAAATCCAAGGTCTGATGATGAGTCTGAACAGTGGTTGTCATGGCATCATTAACAAAGAGCTACCCCTGAGGTTCAGCTTAAATAAAGTAAGAAATTCTCAAAAAATTCAGGGAGAGCTTACTAAAACTGCAAAAAAACACAAGGTTAGACTATTCATTTTAAGTTTTCATTAACACATTACATGTAGAATACACAAATCTCCAGTGCTACAACAGTGCACACAAAACACAGAAAACAAAAAATCCAATAAACATGCATTCAGGTGATCACTTCGGCATTGCAGCAGTCAGCATGACAGGCGTACATTAGCGTTTTGAGACCCCCCCTTGCGTTGACATGTTTCTCTGTAAGACAGAGAGGGGTGATGGGGGGGAATCACAACCACAAGAGTCGTGACTCACTCGCATTTACCTACAACGCGCTGACTGTGCAAAGCACAAGTGAGAATGACAGGTGGCAGTGAGAAACGATTCATCATAGCATTATCCAGTGAGCCAGTCGGGTGTTATCATTAGTTGGTTAATGGCAGAGTGATGCTCCTCAAGTCAGGAACAGAGAGAAGATGACTGCTTAGTAAGCACCGTGTTCTTGCACGTTTCTAATATTGTCACGCATGATAAGATCACAAAAAAGATGTGCGGTAGTTTAGAGGGTGAGCCGCTGTGTTACTCGATGAAGGAGAGGGAAGACGCTAAATGATAGCATGTGTGCCGGTGAGCTCTGAGGACACTTTGCTGCCGGAACTGTTTCAGAAAAAGAGATGTTTAATGCTAGAATGAAGCCAGAGAGCGGCAATAGGAGGATTTTAAGTGAATAAAATTTAAATGAATTGCAAAAATTGTAAACTATAAAAATAAATAATCTTTGTTTCTTTTGAGAGATGAGGTGGAAATCAGGTTTGAGATGGAAATAACTCACCTCTAAAACACAGAATAAACACACCCTTATGATAAACACTCACTTTATATGAGTATTTACTGAAGGTTTTTTAGGTGTGTGAAGTTTGTTTGTGTTGAAATATGTTAACATTACCATGGTATCAGGTTTATAATCTTTCCAGCAGAAGAATGCAACATTTCACCTGTTAATGAAATGTGATCTTATCAGGGTGTGCCAAAATATCAGCTGCAGAACAAATCAACGTAAAGAAAAAAAACTAAAAACCAAATGCACCCCCAGTGAAGTGGGCATTAATCTTAAGCTACAGTAGATCTGAAAGAAGTCGACAGAGGTTCTGGGGTATAGGGTAAAAAAAAAAGAGGAAAAAAAGGTTAAATGAAAAAAAAAGGAGTGAAAATCCTTTGTGCCACAAAGCCAAGCAAAAACAGTGCATTTACAGTACTTACGATTTTATGATTTCTCATCATATTATCAAACTCCTCATTAATTTTTTTATACTTTTCTTCTGTGTGAGGAGTGAGGACATATGAGGCATCGGGGTCCGGGCTATCACAACCTCTGTGTTCTTTCTTGTTTAGCGCCTGTAGTGAACATCAACATAAAGACAGGGATCAACACAAAAGAGCAGGCGACAAAGGAAAGTACTTACACCACAGCGCTTGTACATTAAATCACTCTCTTCGCTTAGTTTGCCGAAATGGTCGTCCATGAGGGGGCTGTGCCCGAAACAGTCATCGGGATCAGGACTAGCACAGTCATTATGGCCTTTGTTTCTCAATTTCTGAAAGGAAATTGCACAGTTGAAAAGAAACAGTATACTATACTATACATTTCTTTTACTTAAAAACACCAAGCATTACTATTATTATACTCTGACACCATG